CTACCTACTACTACGCACTCCCATGACCAATCCTAACACTAACTGTTCTCTACAAAACTACGTCTGCTCCATTCTACAACCTAACACCTTCTGCCCTCGCTAGCTAATCATGATCTCCCGGCCTAACAGTGGCCCACGCTTCAGTGGTCAGCTGACCGTCCCACGTGACCGGTCAGCCCTGTGCGCCCATTGGCCTCTCTAAACAACCAACTAGGCCTATAGTCTGTTTCTGCTAACATATATCTGCTAAACATGTCTGACGTAATCTTGCGTCATCACAGGGGGTGTGTGTGTGTTTTGTTTGAGGGGAGGTGTGTGTGTTTTGTTTGAGGGGAGGTGTGTGTGTGTTTTGTTTGAGGGGAGGTGTGTGTGTTTTGTTTGAGGGGAGGTGTGTGTGTTTTGTTTGAGGGGAGGTGTGTGTGTTTTGTTTGAGGGGAGGTGTGTGTGTTTTGTTTGAGGGGAGGTGTGTGTGTTTTGTTTGAGGGGAGATGTGTGTGTTTTGTTTGAGGGGAGGTGTGTGTGTTTTGTTTGAGGGGAGGTGTGTGTGTTTTGTTTGAGGGGAGGTGTGTGTGTTTTGTTTGAGGGGAGGTGTGTGTGTTTTGTTTGAGGGGAGGTGTGTGTGTTTTGTTTGAGGGGAGGTGTGTGTGTTTTGTTTGAGGGGAGGTGTGTGTGTTTTGTTTGAGGGGAGGTGTGTGTGTTTTGTTTGAGGGGGGATGTGTGTGTTTTGTTTGAGGGGAGGTGTGTGTGTTTTGTTTGAGGGGAGGTGTGTGTGTTTTGTTTGAGGGGAGGTGTGTGTGTTTTGTTTGAGGGGAGGTGTGTGTGTTTTGTTTGAGGGGAGGTGTGTTTGTTTTGTTTGAGGGGAGGTGTGTTTGTTTTGTTTGAGGGGAGGTGTGTGTGTTTTGTTTGAGGGGAGGTGTGTGTGTTTTGTTTGAGGGGAGGTGTGTGTGTTTTGTTTGAGGGGAGGTGTGTGTGTTTTGTTTGAGGGGAGGTGTGTGTGTTTTGTTTGAGGGGAGGTGTGTGTGTTTTGTTTGAGGTGTGTGTGTGTGTGTTTGTTGTTTGAGGGGAGGTGTGTGTGTGTTTTGTTTGAGGGGAGGTGTGTGTGTTTTGTTTGAGGTGTGTGTGTGTTTTGTTTGAGGTGTGTGTGTGTTTTGTTTGAGGTGTGTGTGTGTTTTGTTTGAGGGGAGGTGTGTGTGTTTTGTTTGAGGTGTGTGTGTGTTTTGTTTGAGGTGTGTGTGTGTTTTGTTTGAGGTGTGTGTGTGTGTTTTGTTTGAGGGGAGGTGTGTGTGTTTTGTTTGAGGGGAGGTGTGTGTGTGTTTTGTTTGAGGGGAGGTGTGTGTGTTTTGTTTGAGGGGAGGTGTGTGTGTTTTGTTTGAGGGGAGGTGTGTGTGTTTTGTTTGAGGTGTGTGTGTGTGTGTTTGTTGTTTGAGGGGAGGTGTGTGTGTGTTTTGTTTGAGGGGAGGTGTGTGTGTTTTGTTTGAGGTGTGTGTGTGTTTTGTTTGAGGTGTGTGTGTGTTTTGTTTGAGGTGTGTGTGTGTTTTGTTTGAGGTGTGTGTGTGTGTTTTGTTTGAGGGGAGGTGTGTGTGTGTTTTGTTTGAGGGGAGGTGTGTGTGTTTTGTTTGAGGTGTGTGTGTGTTTTGTTTGAGGTGTGTGTGTGTTTTGTTTGAGGTGTGTGTGTGTGTTTTGTTTGAGGGGAGGTGTGTGTGTTTTGTTTGAGGGGAGGTGTGTGTGTGTTTTGTTTGAGGGGAGGTGTGTGTGTTTTGTTTGAGGGGAGGTGTGTGTGTTTTGTTTGAGGGGAGGTGTGTGTGTGTGTGTTTTGTTTGAGGGGAGGTGTGTGTGTGTGTTGTTTGAGGGGAGGTGTGTGTGTTTTGTTTGAGGGGAGGTGTGTGTGTTTTGTTTGAGGGGAGGTGTGTGTGTGTTTTGTTTGAGGGGAGGTGTGTGTGTTTTGTTTGAGGGGAGGTGTGTGTGTGTTTTGTTTGAGGGGAGGTGTGTGTGTTTTGTTTGAGGGGAGGTGTGTGTGTTTTGTTTGAGGGGAGGTGTGTGTGTGTTTTGTTTGAGGGGAGGTGTGTGTGTTTTGTTTGGTGTCATGTCTTGGATGTAGCATAGAAAAACAGGTTTAGAAAAACTAGTTTAGAAAAACAGGTTTAGAAAAACAGGTTTAGAAAAACAGGTTTAGAAAAACAGGTTTAGAAGAACTAGTTTAGAAAAATTGGTTTAGAAAAACTAGGCTAGCTACTATTAACCCATTGACTTTTGTTTAAATGTGAAAGTTCCCTCCGTAACAATGAAAGTATTATTATTCCGGCAATTTAAATTTTATCTCTGTCGTAGCTGGATATGACATTTTTACTTCGTACAAATAAGTTAACAGCTCATCTGAACTATATCTTAACAGTGGATTTTATGTTTTATGTTTGTGTTTTATGTTTTATGTTTGTGTTATAATTATTTCCATGATGGCCAATACAAGATCTCTGATAGATGAAAAAACAACACATAATATTTATATTTCTAAATTACACATACAAAAGTTTTGAGCTTTACTTTTTTCAACGCGCTATACTAAAATAAAGCGCATGTTACCAAACATGGTAGGCTAGACCAATCAAGTCCTAATGTTCAAGTGTTACCTATGTTGGGTTGTTCTAAGTCTAGTAAGGGACGTAAAAACCTATGGAACAGAGATTATTCACCTGTAGATATTACTTCCGCTTATCAAATCACTTGATCACAAACCAGACACTACACAAAGGAATCAAAGTCCTGATACAATTGGTCGGCCCAGAACACATTTAGTTCGTTGTATGGAATGATTGATTCCTTGTGACCAGCTTCTTATGCTTCATTTACTCTTGTGTGATCCAAACCTTTGAACTGTGATAGGTGCTTTATTAGTAGCTAATTAGACGGGGTAGTATGTAGAACTATATCTACAGGTTGTGGGCATACTAGTAACAAATACACGACAAATCTAGCAGATATTTAGTTCAATCTGTGAAGTATCGGTTCTGCGACACGCAGCACGGAAGTATCGAATGTGACATGTAGCACGGAAGTATCGAATGTGATACGTAGCACGGAAGTATCGAATATGTGACATGTAGCACGGAAGTATCGAATCTGTGGCAAGTAGCAAAGAAGTATCGAATATGTGACATTTAGCACGGAAGTATCGAATATGGTATGTAGCACAGAAGTATCAAATGTGATATGTAGCACGGAAGTATCGAATTTGTGACATGTAGTACGGAAGTATCGAATTTGTGACATGTAGTACGGAAGTATCGAATGTGATATGTAGCACTAGCACGGAAGTATCGAATCTGTGACATGTAGCACGGAAGTATCGAATTTGTGACATGTAGTACGGAAGTATCGAATGTGATATGTAGCACTAGCACGGAAGTATCGAATCTGTGGCATGTAGCACGGAAGTATCGAATTTGTGACATGTAGTACGGAAGTATCGAATGTGATATGTAGCACGGAAGTATCGAATCTGTGGCATGTAGCACGGAAGTATCGAATGTGATATGTAGCACGGAAGCAAACAGTTTAGGGACAATGTCTGATCAAGAAGCGATGACAGTTGATGTTAGCACTAGAGGGTGGGTTCGATATTTTTTTTTGTTAAGTGAATAACTCTTATCTACTGAATTTTTAGGTCATTTAAAACTAATCTTGTGATTTTAAGATTTGGATTTGACGACCATTCAACCAGAGAAACAGACGTCATTTTACCAATTTGATTTACTATCCTTTATGGAAGCAATTAACGGGCCCTTAAAAATTGAAGGTCCTTGCTATTGCCTTATCAGCCCCAACCCTAATCCACCACCGACGATCACACATTTTGTTAATCGCAAACTTGTCTAAAACAGATCTTGGTCACGTTGTTTAAGATCTTTGTCACGCAGTATATATCTGTATGGGGAGTTAACAAGTTCACGGCTGTTTCCACCCCCAGCCTGCATTCAAAGAACTCCCGCCCAGTAGCGGAACTAGAAAAAAAGGGCCACCCCGCAAAATTTTTTTAGCCCCCCCCCCAATATATATATATATATGTATATATATTTATATATATAGGCCTATATACGATATATATATATATATATATATATAGGCCTATATACGATATATATATATATATATATATATATATATATATATATATATATATATATATATATATATATATATATATATATATATATATATATATATATATATATATATATATATATATATATATATATATATATATATATATATATATATATATATATACAACCACAAATTACGAACATAGGATACTCATTGCTGGCCTGTTCGGGATTTGAAAAACGTCAATTTAAAAAAATTTCAACATTATGTCATGTAGCCCTCGCAACATCCAGTCGGTCAAAATAATATAAAACATGAAAGCTTTGTATAAGTAATGGTGTCTCGTGTTATATTTATTTTTATGGTTTTTTTAAATTTATATTATTAACTTTTTAAATATTATTGATTTAATACATTTCATTGTTAAACAATGTCATTATTTAGTAATTACTTTATAAAAAAAATAATAATTAAGAGTAGTAATTGCTTTTTAATTTGTTTAGTACAAATCTATTAAAAGGAGCTTATGATCAACCCTATTTGACTACTTAAAAAAAAGGGAAATAAGTCATGGAAGTGGTTTGAACATTTGCTTATCTTTGATAAGTTTGATTGTAGGAGAAAGACTCGGCTTTCACAGTGGTTTAAAAACAAAGAGAAAAATAATATACAAGAGCGTGGGGTGGTGTCTATAGAATAAAGATAATCCAACCGCAGCTACGGTAATTTTTTTTTACAAAACAACCATCAAGTCAAAAATGAAAGAAAATTTACTTTTTTTAACTATAATTTTTTTTTATTATGGTCGGCTCTGGCCCCTAAATGGCGTGCCCCCCCCCCCCCCGCATTGCGGGGTCTGGCGGCACTGTAGTTCCGCCCCTGCTCCCGCCCCAGCCTGCATGTACAGAACTCCCCCACCCCCAGCCTACATGTACAGAACTCCCCCACCCCCCAGCCTGCATGTACAGAACTCCCCCACCCCCAGCCTACATGTACAGAACTCCCCCACCCCCAGCCTGCATGTACAGAACTCCCCCACCCCCAGCCTGCATGTACAGAACTCCCCCACCCCCCAGCCTACATGTACAGAACTTCCCCACCCCACCCCCAGCCTGCATGTACAGAACTTCCCCACCCCCAGCCTGCATGTACAGAACTCCCCCACCCCCCAGCCTGCATGTACAGAACTCCCCCACCCCCCAGCCTGCATGTACAGAACTCCCCCACCCCCACACTGCATGTATAGAACTCACCCACCCCACCCCCACACTGCATGTACAGAACTCCCCCACCCCCAGCCTACATGTACAGAACTCCCCCACCCCCCAGCCTACATGTACAGAACTCCCCCACCCCCAGCCTACATGTACAGAACTCCCCCACCCCCAGCCTACATGTACAGAACTCCCCCACCCCCAGCCTGCATGTACAGAACTCCCCCACCCCCAGCCTGCATGTACAGAACTCCCCCACCCCCCAGCCTACATGTACAGAACTCCCCCACCCCCCAGCCTACATGTACAGAACTCCCCCACCCCCCAGCCTGCATGTACAGAACTCCCCCCCCCCCCCAGCCTGCATGTACAGAACTCCCCCACCCCCACCCCCCAGCCCGCATGTACAGAACTCCCCCACCCCCACCCCCCAGCCCGCATGTACAGAACACCCCCACCCCAGCCTGCATGTACAGAACTCCCCCACCCCCACCCCCCAGCCCGCATGTACAGAACTCCCCCACCCCCAGCCTGCATGTACAGAACTCCCCCACCCCCAGCCTGCATGTACAGAACTCCCCCACCCCCCAGCCTGCATGTACAGAACTCCCCCACCCCAGCCTGCATGTACAGAACTCCCCCACCCCCACCCCCCAGCCCGCATGTACAGAACTCCCCCACCCCCAGCCTGCATGTACAGAACTCCCCCACCCCCAGCCTGCATGTACAGAACTCCCCCACCCCCATCCCCAGCCCGCATGTACAGAACTCCCCCACCCCCAGCCTGCATGTACAGAACTCCCCCACCCCCAGCCTGCATGTACAGAACTCCCCCACCCCCAGCCTGCATGTACAGAACTCCCCCACCCCCAGCCTACATGTACAGAACTCCCCCACCCCCAGCCTGCATGTACAGAACTCCCCCACCCCCCAGCCTGCATGTATAGAACTCACCCACCCCCCAGCCTGCATGTACAGAACTCCCCCACCCCCCAGCCTACATGTACAGAACTTCCCCACCCCACCCCCAGCCTGCATGTACAGAACTTCCCCACCCCCAGCCTGCATGTACAGAACTCCCCCACCCCCCAGCCCGCATGTACAGAACTCCCCCACCCCCCAGCCTGCATGTACAGAACTCCCCCACCCCCAGCCTGCATGTACAGAACTCCCCCACCCCCAGCCTGCATGTACAGAACTCCCCCACCCCCCAGCCCGCATGTACAGAACTCCCCCACCCCCCAGCCTGCATGTACAGAACTCCCCCACCCCCAGCCTACATGTACAGAACTCCCCTACCCCACAGCTTGCATGTACAGAACTCCCCCACCCCCATGTACAGAACTCCCCCACCCCCCAGCCCGCATGTACAGAACTCCCCCACCCCCTCAACAACACCCCGGGACTCGATCAGAAGGCTTTTGTTCAACTCGATTACGAGCCGTAATTTTATTACAGATGTAACTTTGTAATCGATTCTCTGCTTACCAGACGTGATTACAGGGGTGACGGTTAGACTAGGTCCGGTCGGGTGTTACCGGTTTGATTTGAATTGAACTAGGCCGCGCCCCGGGGAGCGACGCCATGACAGGAAGTGTTGTGTCGCTGATGAGGCAGCCAATCAAATTGTAACTAGTCACGTCACGTGATAGCCAGCACACGGGGTCATGTGAGGTCACGCGCCTACCAGTTCAGAGGAATTTGATGTATGGTAGATTAATTGGTGGGGAAATTAATGAGTGGGTTTAATTAGAGTGGAGATTCTACGGTAAACATTAATCAGGTGAGATCAAAATACTGGGGAGATTGTTCTAGCTGACTTATGTGCTCAGTCAACAAACACCAGGTAACATGTTTCCTACCTTAACATCCACCCGACTAGCCCCACATCCCTGGTGTACCTGCCCCCACCCCCATCTCTATTAGCCTCCATCTTTAACACTGAAATCTTTACGGTGCCATAAATCTCTCGAGTCAACATGTTATGTACAAGGGGGGGGGGGATGGGCGGATGTACTGGTCAGTAAATCAAAACTACCTCTAGTAATTATGACTCTAAGTGTGAAGAGGTTAGACGAGAATGTCTGCTGTGAGTAGGGTTGAACATCTAGATCTCATTTTCTCCACTGATCCTCAGGAAACTGTAGCTCATAGCTAGCTAACCGGAAGCATTGAACTCAGAGCTAGTCAACTGGAATCTATAAGCTCATAGCTGGACAACTGAAAACTTTAAGCTCAGAACTAGACCATAGCAAACTTTATTATGTTAGTTTACGTTAAAAGGCATAAATGTTTAACAATATTAAGTATAACATATCATCTCGCCATTAATTATTTACATATTTTGTTCAGTTTAACATTAGCACTTATTTATACAAGCGGTATGTGTAAAATTTTATAACATCAAAATCGTCTACCGATATAATAGTTTTCGTAGTTTGTGTGCATGTTTACATTTTATATTTATTCATTTTTCATTTATAAAAATGAAATTATGTTGATTCTTAATTGCATCTTGATATTATTTTATTCTAAAGCATTTGTTTTTCCATTGAAAAATGGAAAGTACTTTTAAAATATAAAATCACATTTATTTTCAGTGTAAAAAGGAAGGAATAAATGTTCAGAGCTTGTGTTATAAGTTAAATGTATATGTTCAATCTGTGAATGTATATGTTCAATCTGTGAATGTATATGTTCAATCTGTGAATGTATATGTTCAATCTGTGAATGTATGTGTTCAATCTGTGAATGTATGTGTTTAATCTGTGAATGTATGTGTTCAATCTGTGAATGTATATGTTCAATCTGTGAATGTATATGTTCAATCTGTGAATGTATGTGTTCAATCTGTGAATGTATATGTTCAATCTGTGAATGTATGTGTTCAATCTGTGAATGTATGTATTCAATCTGTGAATGTATGTGTTCAGTCTATGAATGTATGTGTTCATCTGTGAATGTATGTGTTCATCTGTGAATGTATGTGTTCAATCTGTGAATGTATGTGTTCAATCTGTTAATGTATGTGTTCAATCTGTGAATGTCCTTGTGTGCGTATGTTAATTAGATTATATCTGTGTATGTGTGTATGTTAATTTGCCTTTGTGTGTATGTGTGTATGTTAATAAGTTTGTGTGTGTTTATGTGTATGTTAATACGCTTGTATTAACGTGTGTGTGTATGTGTCTGTATGTGTGTGTATGCCATTCCTCCCATTCTTCTCTATCCGAGTCTATCCGTGCGTGTGTGTTTGTATCCGAGTCTATTCCTGTGTGTGTTTCTCCCACCACCAGTTTCAATCACAGACAAGATCACGTGACTCCCGAAATGACCGGTCAGCTCATTAGCTTGATCTAATTACTGGTGTAGGAAATATTTTCAACGGCGCCGGCTAGCTTAGACTGACGGCGGTATCTGCCGGCATTATCTGCCGGCATTATCTGCCGGCATTATCTGCCGGCATTATCTGCCGGGATCTCTGGACATCGTGGCGCTCGATAGCTCATTACTCTCTCACACACACACACACGCACACACATTACTCACGGCAACATTTGTGGGGGAGGTGGTAAGAGAGGGTGGGGGGGGGGGCTGTGTATGTATACCAGATTGGGAGGATGCGAGAGGTCAGACCTCAGCTGGTAGACCTCACAGGGTAGATACTGATAGAAATCAAAAGTTTTGTTCTCTACAAAACCTAATGTTGAGGACCCGATTCACTGTAGATTGTCTTGTATTTAAAAAACACATTTTTTGTGTCTTAAATTCTCAATGATTTTGTAGCATGATTGTTATAGTATCATGGTAGTTTTCATGTATCTCCAAACCAACCAGTCTATCCCTGCCTACCAGTCTATCTTGCCAACCACTCTATCCCTGCCAATCAGTCTATCCCTGCCAACCAATCCATCCCTGCCAACCAGTCTATCCTGCCAACCACTATCCCTGCCAACCAGTCTATCCTGCCAACCACTATCCCTGCCAACCAGTCTATCCCTGCCAACCGATTAGTTTATATTCCCACCCATGTTTTTGCAAAGATCAGGACCGATGACTCTGAATTCATTAGTAACGAAAATCGGAAGTGTATGAGGCCCGCTGAGAGCGCATGCGTGACAGCATCTAATTCCGTTCAGCCGGTCCTAGGTCTCTTGACCAATCAAGGCAGGACAGTGGTCAAGTCAGTGAAGTTTCAACTTTTAGGGCAGGACTTTTGGATTGGTTGCGCCAGTTCAAACCTAAATCTGCCGCCAATTACCAAAGGTGTGACTGAACGGATGACTTTTGCTTGACAAGAACAGTGACGTCATGATGACAAGAGGTAGCTTGACACTTGTGTCACCTCCTCATTCCCCTGACACCATTCCCCTGACACCATTCCCCTGACACCTTTCCAAAGATATTACGAACCCCAAATCAAAACACGCATCGATTGTTGGGTCTCACCTATTTCGTCTATGTCCTACCACAGTTGATCTACTCCTTAATCACCTAGCAGAGGCGTAGCGAGGGGGGGGGGGGGGGCGTGTGTGTGGACCGCACCGGGTGACACCATTTAGGGGGGTGACACCAAGGCAAGAAATAGCAAAATTTATAGAGAAAAACTTGAGGGGGTGCAAATCGAAAGTTTGAGGGGGGGGGTGCAAATCGAAAGTCTGGGGGGTGTAATGATCGCAGTCTGTCAGTCGCAGACAGGCGAACACCCCGGGTTCGTTTAATTGTAGTCAAAGACAGTGACCTTCTGGACAGAATGAGCACACCAGAAACTACGTGGGCGTGTTACAATAGTCTAGGGGAACGAACACGTGGGAAATGAGGTGACTCAAACTAAGCGTAACTGACAACTACTATTTAATTTGTGAACAAGTATATACAATAGACACTAAGTCAATTCCAAAATATAATACACTAAGAGCAATAAATAAACCAAAAAAATCACTTACAGATATCTCAAAGTTACTGAAATTAATCTAATAACTAGATATCAAAATCACAGTTACGGCCTTGGTGAAATAACACACCTCAGTAATTTACCATAAACACTGAAATCAGAGTTTCTTCCAGGCATCTCTTCGGGGGGGGGGGGCAAGCCCCCCCCCCCCCCCCCCCCGAAAAATTCCCCCCCTCCCGAACGAAAAGAAATTTATATAATTTATATAGAAAATATATACTTTTAACAGTGTCCGCCCACCCCCCCCCCCCGAAAAAAGTCTACCGCCCCCCCCCCCCCGAAAATTTCAAGTGCCCCCCCCCCCCGGAGAAAAAAGTCTGGAAGAAACACTGACTGAAATGGCCATACATCTCCTACAATAAGGAAACAAAATATCGCCACAAAATGAACAACTCAAAATGGCGACACACACACACACGGCACTATGTGTCTCGGGGTCCAGTGTCAAAGGCTGCCTGCCTGTGTCCAGTGTCAAAGGCTGCCTGCCTGTGTCCAGTGTCAAAGGCTGCCTGTGTCCAGTGTCAAAGGCTGCCTGCCTGTGTCCAGTGTCAAAGGCTGCCTGCCTGTGTCCAGTGTCAAAGGCTGCCTGTGTCCAGTGTCAAAGGCTGCCTGTCTGTGTCCAGTGTCAAAGGCTGCCTGTGTCCAGTGTCAAAGGCTGCCTGTCTGTGTCCAGTGTCAAAGGCTGCCTGTGTCCAGTGTCAAAGGCTGCCTGTGTCCAGTGTCAAAGGCTGCCTGTGTCCAGTGTCAAAGGCTGCCTGTGTCCAGTGTCAAAGACTGCCTGTCTGTGTCCAGTGTCAAAGGCTGCCTGTCTGTGTCCAGTGTCAAAGGCTGCCTGTGTCCAGTGTCAAAGGCTGCCTGTCTGTGTCCAGTGTCAAAGGCTGCCTGTGTCCAGTGTCAAAGGCTGCCTGTGTCCAGTGTCAAAGGCTGCCTGTGTCCAGTGTCAAAGGCTGCCTGTGTCCAGTGTCAAAGACTGCCTGTCTGTGTCCAGTGTCAAAGGCTGCCTGTGTCCTTTGTCAAAGGCTGCCTGTGTCCAGTGTCAAAGGCTGCCTGTCTGTGTCCAGTGTCAAAGGCTGCCTGTGTCCAGTGTCAAAGGCTGCCTGTGTCCAGTGTCAAAGGCTGCCTGTGTCCAGTGTCAAAGGCTGCCTGTCTGTGTCCAGTGTCAAAGGCTGCCTGCCTGTGTCCAGTGTCAAAGGCTGCCTGCCTGTGTCCAGTGTCAAAGGCTGCCTGTCTGCGTCCAGTGTCAAAGGCTGCCTGTCTGTGTCCAGTGTCAAAGGCTGCCTGCCTGTGTCCAGTGTCAAAGGCTGCCTGTGTCCAGTGTCAAAGGCTGCCTGTGTCCAGTGTCAAAGGCTGCCTGTCTGTGTCCAGTGTCAAAGGCTGCCTGTCTGTGTCCAGTGTCAAAGGCTGCCTGTCTGTGTCCAGTGTCAAAGCCTGCCTGTGTCCAGTGTCAAAGGCTGCCTGTCTGTGTCCAGTGTCAAAGACTGCCTGTCTGTGTC